TGGGATTTTCCATTAAACGCTATTCCCACCTCAAAACCTTATTTTACATAGATTGCAAAACGCTGTGCTTCCGGTTTCTGTTAGAAGCCTAAAATACTCCCAGATCGTCACGTCTTATCTTACGCTCCTCGTACTGCGAAGGGTATGCGCATGACCTCAAAGCAGGCGGAAGTCACTGTACTCACACCCACTGAGTAGCAAAAAAGATTTAGGGGCAGTGATAGCGTTCGATTTGAATTCCGCAAAAACACACATGTAAAATGGGAAAGAGCTGTCGTGCGATTGATTGCCAAAAACTAAATAAGTAAGTATAGGACGTGGATTTGTCACGCATGGCCGATTCCCGATCCGTCAAATAGGTCTGGATCGGCGCCGATACCGATCCGAATATCGGTATCGGCGCATCTCTAATTTTCACCCATGAGTGCATGTAGTGTATGCATTAAGTGTATGTCCTGTAGCACTGGGGATTCCCATTGGGGAGCGCAGCATGCTGGACTGGTGCTAGCAACGTGAATAATGTAAATAGTTGTGTATAATAAGTGTCTATTGTGTTGTCATGTTGTGTTTTATTGTTGTATAATGTATAGTGTTTGGTGTTATGTGTTGGGAATGTGGATGAGTTGGTGTTTTATGGTTCTGCTCTGATGCCTGGGTTTGCCAGACACTGCAGTTTGTTTATGAAAGTATGGGAAAATCACATCCTGTGTTGGTTCAAAAGCCAGCATTTCACAATCCACCCAGTTTTGCAGCAGCACAAGGACATGCACTGTAAGATTGCAAGGACACACTACTTGATTTAATTCTATTTTTTTTAATTCATATTAATTGAAATAATTACTTTTAATCAACCAGTCATTTAGTCTAGTTGATTCACACACGAGGTGTGATAAGGCAGATGTCACTTGAGGCTTGAGCATGAATTGAAAAATGCACTTTGATAACTGATACTTTATTGATCCCTGTAGGGAAGTTGTCTTTATGTCTCCCCCAACTTGATTTTTGTAGGTGAGAGCAAGCTGGCCATGAAGGGCAGCCACCCATAGCAGAGCCCAGGGAGCTGGGGGTTAAGGACCTTGCTCAAGCAAATGTGCCGAATCATAGGCGCAGAGGCTTAGCCCACTGAGCTACACCATGCCGCACACGCTACACTTAAGTCAGTGGAAAAATTTATATTATTGTCTTTTACATGTGACATACACTTACCTTTGTTTATAAGTTTATAATGTTGTCCAAATACTTATCTTATCTTTGTGATAGAAATACATATGAAATGTTGCAGAGCTCACTCACCATTTCTCATTTTCTGATCTGTATTGCAAAACTTGGTATCCAGAGTAGTCCTTTCCATCGAGGTCATAGATTTTGATGTCGTTTTCATCAATGTTGAATGCTGGACATACAAAGGAAACTTTTTTTAGAATCAAACTTGCAGATTTCGATTTCATAATAGTAATGGCAATTCAATAATGGCATTTAGATTTACACGTTTACCAAAAGTGTAACAATTATAAAAGGAAAAATGGAGAGACAGACATGCATGTCATGTGCTGAAGAAATGGATTCATGCACCCCTCTAATAGCAATGAAGTAGGGCTGGGCAGGGTGGCTCACTGGGCTTCACATATGCCAACAGAAATGTAATAGTATATACCACAGTATTTTGGGAGGGGGCATGATAAATTTCGCAATGCCCCCCAGTACAGCAGTGTGAAACGTATGAAGGTATGAAAAAATAGGTAACTCCAAGCATACTCAAGGAATGTGGTTTTCAGTTCTGCCTCTAACTGTGTGTGTGTGTGTGTGTATGTGTGTGTGTGTGTGTGTGTGTGTGTGTGTGTGTGGGGGGGGGGGGGTTGTGCTCCCATTGTGTTTCTGTGGGTCTCCTCCCACACTCCAGATGCATGGCATGAGTAGGTACTGTATACATAACCTTGTTCAGACATAAATCACAGACACCGGCAATATTAGCCATTGCTCTATTTTATAAAAGCAATTCCTACTGAAAGCTCTGAATCGTGTATAAGCAGTTTAGCTGTTGACATCCATTGAGAGACTCAGATGACATCACTGCCACTGAGTAGACAGGGGTAATATTTCGCTATGCTTGCCCAATTTAGCTTGTTTTTCAATAAAGAACTATGACAGATATCCATCATTGGATGGTTATGGAGGTACGGATACCGATGTCAGCACGCTTTGAGTGGTGGGTGCTTTGTTATTCATGGAAACAAAGTACAAATTAGCCATATTTATTATAGAGCCAGGCAGACCAAGACATCGCAAGAGCAGCGGAGGACAAGGAAACTTGCTTGCAGGGGTAAAACACGCTCTTTAATTTCAGTATATAACAGGCACCCAACAAGCACCGAACCGAATATAACCAGGGAGAATCCTGGAGGCTAGATTCTGGACATCAATATACACACACAGTGGCAGATTTATACACAGTTAAAAACACGCGAGGATCATACAGGGTACACATGTGCACATAAGACATGGGCAAACACACGCGCAACAATAGGGAATACAACTATAACCATAACTAGAACATCAGGACATACATGGGGGACATTTACAATTACACATGGGGCATGCTGGGATATGCAACTCCCACCGGCAATACAATATGTTTGTAACACCATTTCAGAGACAATGTAGCAACAAACAAGAGGAAAAAAGGACTTCCTCATGGTGTAAGTGCAGCTTTAGCAATACAGCTTAATATTTCAATATGAATTACCCAGCATGTTAACATAAGAATAACATTGAATCCCACCACTACCCCGTACCAGACGACCACTAATATTTACAGCAGCAAAAAGTATCCTTTGGCCAAGCCCCCCTGTTCAAGCACCTGCCTGTAAAGTCTGTGCATGTCACTGTTATTCATAATGAATGTCACATTTGTAGTGACGCCTATAGAATAAATAATTTAACTGCGATTTTGTGTACCATAGTGAAAGAGCACACCATACAGTCAAAAAAAGTAACCCTATCCATCTGACAACCCAGAATTAATTGCAGAGATGCAGATATCAGTTACAAAATCCATACGCAGCGATAAGCGCTTCCTCCCCCCACAAGCACATACATTCACACTCACACTTACACAAATGCAGACACACCCACACACATCATCAAAGACACACGCAGACACCTACACAGACACCCCCTACAGATACCTGCACTCTCTCACATACTTCAACTGCTAATTTAATCAAGAACCAGACAGCAATGTTCAGCTGATTGCTTTTGCTCACCATTGATGTTACTGGTCTGTGTCAATGAATACCTTTATTGAATCCTGTGTTGGTGTTTTCACTCAGATATCGACTGAAGCCAATGTACTATCACCGAACTTTAAACCTTCAGAGCTTAAGTCATCATTATTAACTTTAATTAAAATTGGAGTTATAGTGATAAACTTAATTAATAAATCTATTAATTATTGTGAATTAAATTTTTATTAATTTCACAATACTTTTTAGGAGCAAGTAATTTTATGAGACTGATTACTTAATGAGAATTATACCCACAGCACCTACAGAAATCAGTCACAAAGTCCCTCAGATAACCTGGATGATACCGGACATGAAATGGTCTTCGAGGAAACTCAACTGAGTGTGTGGCTGGGCCTTGAGGCGGCTCGACTGTGGGTTCAGATGGGTATGCATCTAGTTCCATAGGCAAGTGAACTATTTTGAACTTTTATGCTATACAATTCTGGTGCTGCCACCAGGCGGAAGCAGCTAGTAGCAGAGTAGTGAGGCAGAAATGCAGGTAGTAGGATGTCCTGCCAACCAGGGTAGCAATTGTGGGTTTGGAAATACATTGAATGGCCTGAATATTAGACTGAAGTGGGGTGAGACCCTCAGTTATGAGGCGGAATCCCACAAACTCAATGGCAGGTACAGAAAACATACATTTTTGGCTAAGTGTGAGGTGGTGTTTAGCTAGCACCTCAAACACTCTATGTAGGCATTCACTGTGGATGGCAGCTGTAGGTCCATGGACAACTATGTCATTGAGGTAGATGACCACTCCAGGGATGCCAGTGAAGATAGTAGCCATAATCTTCTGGAAGCAGCTGGGGGCAGAGCTGAGCCCAAATTGGACTGTGTACTGAAACTCTCCAGCATGCGCCACAAAAGCCGTGAAGTTCCAGCTGGCAGGTTGGAGAGGGATCTGCAGGTAGCCCTGACGAAGGTCTAGTATTGTGAAGATCATCGAGTCATGAAAATGGGAGGTGAGTTATAATTGATATATAAAGTATCAATTAATTAACTGGCTCAATTATGCCTTCCTCCAGCAGGCGGCACAGCTCATCTGCTATGGTGAGCTGACAGTTAAAATCCAGGTACATCCAGTAGGGAGGATTGAGGGGCGGTGAAAAGGTTGAAGCCCAGTAAGTTCGCACCATGTTGTGAGATGTGAAAGGGAAAGTCTGGGACTAGTTTAGAGCCATAGCAGACTGATAACCGGATGTAGCCTACCATGTTCATTTAGCCACATAAAGCAGTAGTGGCCTTAGAGTGTGGCATGTGGAAGAAAAACTGCCATACATACGGCACCGCTGTGCATTTGACGTAGATTGCATGCATAAAATGGACTGTTTCGGTATTGGAAATATGTGAGATCTGCTGATCTCCAGGCCGAGCACACTGGGGATCATTGGGGATCATTCTATGGCTTATTATTGTGAAGGAATACACAGGCAAGAAAACAGGAAACATGTGAAACTAATAATTAGCACACCAAAAACTAGAAACAATAGCTACATACTGGCAAGTACAAACAGTAGACCACAAGGAGAATTAGACAAAACAAGACTGGAACAGAACAGAACACAAGCAGGGAAAACCTAGGACAAGAAAACTAATAGAAAATAAAGACCGGGAAACAAAAATAAGAAATACAAATAAACAGATGTGACTGGTCCCTGACCAGCGTCAAACCCATGGTTAGAAGGTTACAGTCTATCCCACATGCTCCACCTGTTGAGCCATATGACAGTCTGTGGAAAAGAAGAGCACACCAGGGCTGAAAGACCAGAGACAGGGAGGAGAACAGGATGGCCAGCAACACCTGCTGGCCAATCGGGGAGGAGACACAAAGGGCAGGGTCGGACGGGTGCTGACCCTGACAGGTTAGTTCCAGGGGAAAATGAATATCTTTGATTTTGCATCCATTTGGTAACTTGATGTGGTTATCTGATAGATAGCAATGCAGGGTGAAGAGTGAATGAAGATGTCATGACCTGCTCGTCCGATCCTCCTGTGTGCCACACCCTCTCATTTACATTGTGTGAAACCCCAATTGTTATCAGCTGTTTCGTGTTATTTCTGCGTAGTCCTGTGTATTTTAGTCCGCGTCTGAGTCCATTTCCCTAGGTCTGTCATTGAAGTCTCTTGTGCTAGTTTGCCGTCCGTCCTTCATTTATTATTATTTGATGTACTCCCTTACAATAAAGCCCTCGTTTCCCCGACTACCTGGACTTCTCCAGCTCTGTCCCCGCATGGCCTGACAGAATGACAGACCTCCAAAAGAAGACACTTCACATCGGTGAGGATGAGTAGCTCAATCTCACCGACGAGGTGCTTTATTGGCTGCAGTAGCCCATGGTCCGGGAGGATCCAGCTACCCTAGCCCTAGCATACCAAAGCCGGGATATCCTAGGTGTCCCTGCCCAGCAACGCGCACCGAGCAGAGAAGGTGCGCGAAAACCTCCGGCGGGTGAAACAAAAATTGTACGTTTTCAGCATCTGGCATGCCACTCACGATTTCAGACTCACGCAGGAAATCTTACGGTAAATCTATATTAATCCATTATAAACCTAAAATGAGCTACGTAAAAAGTGTACTTACACAGTTAAATACAAAAGCAGACTATTTACAAGGTAAGAACTGATTTGACAGTCAGGTGCTGATTACATGCACTGTTGATACAACTAATAGGCTACTTAAATATACACTCACCTAAAGGATTATTAGGAACACCATACTAATACGGTGTTTGACCCCCTTTCGCCTTCAGAACTGCCTTAATTCTA